AGGTATTCTCTACTCGATATTAACATCGGTCAAGTTATTGATCCGTGCTAACTGAAACTATCTTCAGTATTATACCCTGATCTTGTAAGTCCTCTTGGATGTGTAACATAGCAACTGTAATGTTAAATAGTTGTTTGAGTTATAACCTGATTCCAATATTTCCAGCCTTAATAATTTCTACTTCTTATTTTATTGCAAAATCAACAGGGGCAATCAGTAATTTGCTTTGCTGAAAATGGTCTGATGTGCAGAGCAATAACTAGTATCATCAGCAAAATACAAAATTATTGTCGACATTAATAATTTCATTAAATGTATGAATAAAATTATTACTATCCCAAGGAACTGTCCGTGTAAATAGTAACTCGCAGCTAATCTGAAAATTAGGGCTGTTTACATATGTGTTGAATAATATTTAGAAATATGCGTCATTAATGGTGTTCTTGATCCAGATCAACGGACAAACCGAAAGCCATATGATAAACTATTGACCTATCACAAGCCATAACCATCTAAGACAATAACACTCACTGTTTTTAAGTGCTGTGCTTAGTATCGACAAGAATCCTGTGCATCTGTTGTCAGTGTGTCAGCTGGGCAGTTTGTGGTTTGCATTACTGTGAGGGGGAAAAATGTGTAGGCTTTGTCTAAAGAGAACCTACAGGAGGGAGGAGGAGACAGACATTTTGCCTGTCAGAGACTGAAAAGAGGAGCACCAGGCCAACAACAGACAACTGTGGCTGTGCACAGACTTATAAGGGCTTCTTGAGTCAAAGCAAGAAAGGGACATCCTGCTGTCTGATTATACAAAGAGACACAAAGACACAACATGACCGGAAACAGTGAAGCCACAGCTCAGTCTGATTATTGATTGTTACTAAAACGGAGTAGGGGGGACATTCCCTTTCACTCTCTCAGCCCGTCTCACTGTCAGGCTGGCAGGAACAGCCATGCCGTTCACCTTTGCGGCCTTCTGCTACATGCTCACCTTGGTGCTGTGCGCTTCTCTCATCTTCTTTGTCATATGGCAGGTGAGTAGCACTGTGCACACTGGAACCACTGCGCACACTAAAATGGGCAAATGTAGGGCCTGCAATTGTCCACACTCCATCCCACACAGGCAGACAAACACATCCACCTACACACAGTTGTACAACACTGACAGGAACACAGCATACACACCTTGCTCTGGTCCTCTAGGGGCAATGTTTCACCTATATGATATTAGAAATGGCCTCTTAAAAGCTTTCACATGACACTTAGTTCCAAAGCTGTGTATATAATTAGTTGAATTATGATTAAGTTCTGAGGTGGATGAAACACCACAGAGGGTGGACCTGGTGCATGAGCCTTTTTCATCTATTTCCAAACAGTAACTTTTAAGTGAACTGGTTACTTGGTGGTTTATTGCTAGTATAATTATCTGGAGTTTGTCAAACCACTTTCTACTCAACACAAAGACACACTCCCGCTGGCTCCATCCCCTCACATTAAAGACACTTATGAACCCAGAGTACTGACAGTATACAGCTTCCCAAACAAGCTCCAGCACACAGTGTGTAATGAGCGCAGAGAGGCGACAAAATACTCTCTGCATAAATCTCTCTGCCAGACGGTTGTGAATCTGTCTGTTGATGGCATTCTGAGAGGCATTTGCTCAGATATCGTTGGAGACCACTACACTAGCTTAAGTTTGCTGGTTACACAAGTACATACTCACTAAACACCAAAGCTCTGATTGCTGACCTTTAACATTTAATGCATGGAGGCAGGAATAATGTGAAATACAAAATGCATATTATGAAGACAAGACTTGAAATGACTAATGTACTGATTGACTAAGAGGGTGAGACTACATATGAGTCAGTCAGTGTCTGTGTGTGAAAGAGACGGGGAGAAGCGTATGTCTGGCTCAGCGTTCAACCATGTGATTGAAACGTTTATCAATTTTGATCACCCCTTCCTCCAGTCTGCCTCCACCCACGGGTACACCACCCTGAATCTATGTTGGTCTCCACCAATCAGAACGCTTGTTCACTGCTATAGTAACCATGGTGCCCACTTAGGGGCTCACCATGTTGCCATGGAAACTGCATCTGTTTACAACAGAGCTAAGTGTGAAAGAAGATGAGGGAGTGTCATATACATTCATATTGGGAGAACACCATTAGGAAAGTTTCTATCTCAAAGAGATAGAAGGGTTCTGTTTTCATATTATCACTCATTGTTGAGGCAAGTGAGACGCTGATGATCCCTTATTTGCAAGTAAAGGCTTGTCAATGAGCTGTCAGGGTGAAACTTCGCAGTATAAAAGCTGAACTCATGATAAACACAGCAGGTGGCCTTTACCAGGCAGATTATTAAGTATTTTTATAGAGCTGTTAATCACTCATTCTTGCCTCACACAGAGCAGTTAGAATCTGGCAGATCTGAACAGTGACATTCTGTCTCAGTTTATTATATTTTGAAGTTTTGCTAAAAATGCTAATCCAAACTTTATTATCAGGCTCATTAAACAATGATTATTCTTACAACAAGTTTAGAGGAGATCAAACTCTTGAAATGGGGGTCACAATAAAGACAACACATGACAAAGGAAAAGAATTTAAATCAGAATTTTAGCACCTGAGATAGTAAGAAGCTACATAATGATGCACTGTGTACATACAACAGGGGCTCGTTTACAATACTGTGGGAAGGAGTAAGTAATTATACATGCACACATTAACCATTTAATCACCATGTGTGTTCCAGCAAAAAGAACAATGTGGCTACAGCTATGCATTTGTCCAGCTAAGCCTTTTATTATTCTGTATATACATTACATATACAGTATATGCATTCATTCAGGGGAAACAAAATAAAACAATCACATACTTTTGTTATTTTTCCAGATCATCGCATTTGATGAGCTTCGCACAGACTTCAAAAACCCCATTGATCAGAGCAACCCCACCAGAGCGGTAAGACCGTGCTGTTTCATGTCCTCCAAGAATGATCAAGTACACAATGATGTGCACACAGAAAGAAATCCCTTCTATTCAGTTTTGAGGATAAAATTCAGTGATTTACTCAGCTGGACTGAAAACAAACTGAAGGATTTTCTCCAAAATGTTGCATATAACCTTAAATTTATCAGTCTGTGTAGCAAACCAGAATTAATTAACTCCTCATAAACAAAATTTATAACACAGTACACTGGACTTTAATGTCTGTAATCATTAGAAAAACTAGCATAATATTATGTAAATGAATATTTCTTGATTTTGGAGTGAACGTTTGGCTTGAATAGTCATTTGTATGCAGATTTACAAATGCAGGCTTTTACAAAGATGTTGGCTCACTGGCCTAATCAATTAAAGAGATGGATGCAAATGAAGCAGCTGCTTATATACTGTGCTCATCTGCTGTCACCACAATAAAAGTGGACATACAAGGTTTCACCTCACTATAACAAGAACAGTCATATTCACTTAAGTCACACTTGGAAATTCAACCCATTCTTTAAAAGTGAAAATAATTCTACCATAATAATAACTGGCCTAAAATAAGGAAGCATTTGTTTTCTCTTCCTGCAGTGTATTTGCAGTATGTATACTGTATCTTTCTCCTAACAACTTAAATTAACATTATTATGAGTCAGTAATGGGAGCCATTATTCATTTAGCAAGTTAACAGCAACTGTGAATGTCTTTTTCACAAGTTAGCTAATGTTCTAGCAATCATGTGAACCTGCAGCTGAACTGCAAAGTGATGAGGAGTGGGAGAGGAAACCATGAACACAGACTGTGGGAGTGTGGAGGCAGCATGCCAGCTGCAGGGGATGGACACAATAACTGTAACACCTGCATATATAATAACCAAATACAGCAGCTCAGTTCAAAGTGGATGTGTGATTCCTCCCCCCAACCCCTAACCCTGCAGATGGTTGTTCTGATAAAGCCTCATCAGAACATTACAAGCTTCATGACAGCAGTATTTGTATTAAGGCTACTATTGGCTTAGAATGTACAGTATTATTTTGTCCTCTAAAGTGCAGGGACGTGATGTTGCCAGTCTCTCCCAAAAACAATCACATGGCCACAGCTATGAAATTTAAACAGCAGTTATTTCTGATGCTAGCAGAGAGCATGCATGTTCACTCAACTGCAGTTGTCTAGAAAAACGTTTTAAATATTTGTCAGGGAATGAGAAATTACAGAAGGACAAAATGGAAGTGATTAAAGGTGTTTCCAGATCAGGTGCAAATTGATTAATTTAGTTACAGTCTCAAAAGAAGACATATCATATCTGTATAAAAACCAGTGATTGACACTTTCTTCTTGAAATACTTAAATAGCAAGTATGAAATGTCTCACGGTGAAATAACGTATTTCAAAATTACCATTTCATATTTCTTTCATTTCAAGCTTTACTGAATGTTAATGGCTTTTGAGAAAATATGACAATGATTGGTTGACAATGATCGCTTGATTAGCTAACTAATCAAACTGCATACCTGACAGCATTCTTTGTCCTGCTTTTGTTGTTCTATCATTTGTTCTGTTTAATGTGAAATGACTGTTCTGCCTTTGATTAATGTTTTCACTTTCCTTTGCTGGAACTATTAAATATTCAGAGTGAATTGGGTGGCCTGACATAAACTGGGGTACTTCAGGGATGCCCCGGGCAGTACAACCCAAGCAGATTTATTGCAGGACAACAATTTATATGTGCAGTAACAAACATGTGCAGGGTTCAGTAGCTTAGCAGGCAAGTCCAGCATTGTGCTGTTTACATTTCAGAGCTCAGTGCCATGGAAAGGTGTGGTGCACAAAGCAAGTGAATAAAGAAAGCAAAAACATTACACAGACCAAACTAACAACTGAGAACTAGAGAAATGCATTTCCTGTCAAAAATGCGTGTAGATGCTATGTGCTGAAAATTCACCCTGAAAATGCTGAACATTTTGACACCTGAAAGGCATATCTACCTGAAAGTATGCTGAAGTACAATTTTCCCATTAATTTGAATGGGGGGAAATTTTCAAAATAAAGCTAAATATTTCAGAAGTGTGAAGTGTATAAAAATTCTCAGTCAAAGCATGAATGTCCTGGGAGACTTGAACATTTTGATAGCTGAAATACCTGAAAGTATGCTTAAGTAGAATTTCCCCATTCATTTGAAAGGGGCAAGATTTTCAAAATAAAGCTAAATATTTTTAAAGTGTGATGTTTTGAAAAATTGTTAATAGAAGCATGAATGTCCTTGAAGAGCTGATAATTTTGATACCTGAAATAGTTGAAAGAAAGCTGGAGTCAAATTTTCCCATTCATTTGAGTGGGGCACAACTTTCAAAATAAAGCTAAATAATTCAAAAGTATAAGGTTTAGAAAAACCCTGAAGAGAAGCATGAATGTCCTTGAAGAGCTGATAATTTTGATACCTGAAATAGCTGAAATTATGCTGAAGTAGAATGTTCCCATTCATTTAAATGGGGCAAAACTTTCAAAATAAAGCTAAATATTTCAAAAGTATGAGATGTAGAAAAATTCTGAAGAGAAGCATGAATGTACTTGAAGAGCTGAACACCATTGGAGTTTATGGCCACAGATTCATAAAGTGCGCAGCCTATGGTTTTGACTAGAGTAAACAGATAACACATAGTTCTAAATACTGGAAGCTAATAATACCTCTAACCTCAGTATCCCATTAAGTGAGTAAGAGAGTCTTCCCAGTTGAAGGACAAACAGTGTGGTTATACATGCTGTTATGAGGCAAATTCCTAGACATACAGCATATCCACGCTGCTTGTTTAATGTCTGTTTCACAGCATAGATGAGGCAAAGAAAATGGCATCAAATGGTACCTTTGCTTACCTGCTCTGATAGCACAGTGATGGAAGCCAATTCATCTAAGTGAATGAACTACACCAAATCATCTTATTTGCCTTGCTGGCTAATCAATGGACCCCCAAAAGAAAACCACCGGGAAAGGCCTCTAGCTGCTGGCTAGTAAATGCAGTAGAAAATGGATGGGTTTCATTTCTAGAACTGATCATTGAGCATTCCTTCATGGCTCACAGGAGGCTCGAAGCAGTTAGTGCAGAGTGCTGTACCAAACACTGGCCTAATTGCTCCAAACATGGCTGCTGTCTTTTGGTAATGATGAACAGCCTGAATCAGTTTGGGTATTTTCTAACAACAAACCATTGATTTTTTTGTACTTAGTGGCATGAAAAAATATTTTGAATATACAGTGGATAGAAAACTTGTGTTTAAGATGAAAAAATGAAACAGGTTAGTAAGTGAATTGCTAATCATAAATTATTAGTTGCTAAATCGAAGTGGAGGTGTAAGAGAATCAATTCTAGTGTACAGAGGCATGCATCATTACAAAACCTATGTAATTTATATGTAAGCAGTAATCTTTCTGTCTGAAAGCACTCACTAGGTCTCCATTTTATTGTCAGATGAAATCCTTTTGTTAAAGGAAAATAAAGCAGGAAAATGAACAGTGAAGAAACGCACGAAACGAGTGTTAATCAGACTTTCCTTATATTCACTCCACAGAGGGAAAGGATTCTCAACATTGAAAGAATCTGCAACCTGCTTCGCAAAGTGAGTAATAGCTATTTTTCACCTGCTGCCGGTCAATGACTAATACAGAGGGGCTTCAGACATTCATGACCATTTGTCTTTCAGACCATTGCAGGGACCATGATGCACACTGATTCATTTCACCTATCTCATGTAGCAACCCACCATCACTGCTCTGCAGACACACAGCAGGGGAGAACAATGATACAGTGTAGAAGGTTTTGTGTGTATTGTCATGTTTTTCTTTTTGTTTTTTGTTTTTACAAAAAGTGGTGTTGGAAAACAGTCAGTAGCATTTAGCGCAACAGAGGACTTTTTTAAAAAGAGGCATTATATCAAAGCAACAATAACTTTAATACAGTATATAGCAGAAAGTTTGCTCTGAATTCATACCGCTAGTGTGTGTTGATCATCTATGAAAAGATAAATGTTTCAATGACTGAATGTTTAATATGGGAGCAAAGTTTATTAAGTTCAAAAGAAGGACAATGGTTATTGGTTTTTGCATAAATGTAGCTACTGATTTGCAGATGTTTTGTGTTGATTGGCTGTTTGATGTATTATCTTCCGCTGTGATGCACAGCAAGGACCTTAAGTGACACCTTAACCACTCTATCATCATAAAATTCTAGAGGAATTAGATGATACATATTTTTCAATAACTTACAACTTATATAGCTGCATCAGTCTTATTCACACTTCTCCATTTTTGTGTCCATTTTCCTACCTGATCTGTCTGGCTCTGGCACAGGAACATTGTTAATTCCACCTACAAACTGATTGTCTCAGTTATTTCTACAAGCAGGGACACAACCACCAATGAGCCCAACACCAAAACTGTTTGAATTACTAAAAGAATTGGAGATATGTTGGCAGTGCCTCAGAGGTGTGGATCTGGGCAACCATTGATGTTCAAAATACATAAACTTCTACTAACATCTAGAACCCAGTATATACAGTATGTGTTTGAAACTGTATTTGCACTCATAACAGCAGCGAGCCGTGAGTATCATTAACAACTTCTGTGTAAATGTGCTTGCCTCACAGTTTGGTTTTGTAGACCGTAGTGAACTCACATGGCTGTCTCAGTGCTGTATGTGGAGCTGGTGCAGTGTGATTCAGTTTTGTCAGTAAGTAACATGTAGACCTATAACCTGACTTCCCTGTGTCTGCTCTATTTAGCTGGTGGTACCAGAGTACTCCATCCATGGGCTCTTCTGCCTAATGTTCATGTGTGCTGGAGAGTGGGTCACACTTGGCCTAAATATCCCGCTGCTCTGCTACCATCTGTGGAGGTACAGTTCCATAATAGATGTCTCACATGCTTCTGCCGGTCAGGTGGGTAAATGAGCCAAAGCTCTCTGTTTTTTCAGGTTTCTTCACCGGCCAGCTGATGGGTCAGAGGTCATGTATGATCCTGTCAGCGTGATGAATGCTGACATTCTCAACTATTGCCAGAAGGAGTCATGGTGTAAGATGGGCTTTTATCTGCTCTCTTTCTTCTATTATCTCTACAGGTAAGTAGAATTAACTGACTTTTCAGTTACAGTATACCTTGGAAATTTGTTGCAAAAACAAAACAACACATTTACTGTTTTCTTCC